TTTGAAGGGTTCTCTGGATATTCTAGGATATGGTTCTCTAGAAGTTCGATGGGGACATAAAAGGAGCTTCCAGGTGGGCACCCCCCCAGACAATGGTGATGTCACTGGCAAATCTTTTCAACCCAGAAGCTCTATGGTGCTTCCAACACGGGGAAAAAAGTTAGTATTTATCCCAGGACTCTGTTCCCCACCTCTGGGCTATGCAGTTGAGTTCCCTCAACTCAACAGGACCATCTGTGGTTGCGCTTTGGTTACAGTTCAGGGCTGCAGCCGTACGCATTCCGCTGTGACCCTGGGCGACTGGAGCGACCCTCTGGATCCCGACGCAGAAGCTCAGCTAGTGTACAAGCAGCTTTTGTTGCATAAAGACAAGCTCAGGTTTGTACAGGGCAAAAGGATTGGTCTGATCCTGTTTGGTGGGGGCTGGGGGGTGGGAACGCCGTACAGGCAGGATTGCATCCGAAGAAGAAGAGGAGGCTGGAAAGGCACTGTGAAGCGGTATATAAGTCTAAGGGCTATTGCTATTCTACTTGCGATCTTGCCTGCTGGCCTCCGCAATGACTTTGCTAAGAGACGTGGTGGCGCAGTGGTTAGAGTGCAATATTGGCTTCTTCTTTTTTTTCAGTGCCAATGTCAATTCAACCAGTCACTCAACGAAAGTCAAGGATCCGTTGTACTAGAATGTATGCATACCTGGCACACTGTCAGGTGGGGAGGAAATATCTCCAGGTTGACACATCTGGCACGGTGTTGTCCTTTCAGTTGGCCAGCAGGAGGCAGTCCACAGCGAGTTACATTCTCGTTTGACATTTATCAGGCCTTAAATTTTGCAGAGGTTTCCAGCAGAGGGCAGCCCCAGTTAAGGAATTATCTCAGGGTTGTCAAGATGATGATGATGATGATGATGATGATGATGATGACGACGACAAACAACAAACAACAACCCTAATATACATTTTAAGAAGATACTTGGTTGATACCTAAGATGCTGGCAGCAACCCGTATCAACCATCAGTGCCAGTCAATGATATTTATGATACATTTTTAAATGTTCAGTTGACTGAATTTCATGTTTAACGAATAAAAGTTTATAGTAATAATAAATAGTAGTCATAGAAAATGAAGAATTGAAATTGCACTGCCACATAACATAATCCTAACCCTACACCATTGCTGATAGATGGCAGTCCAGTCTCTTCTTGAAAGCCTCCAGGGATGAAGCTCCCACAATTTCCGAAGGCAACTTCAGTTCCATGGGTTGATTGTTCTCAGTGTCAGAAAGTTTCTACTTATTTCCAGGTTGAATCTCTCCTTGGTCAGTTTCCATCCATGGTTCCTGGTCTGGCCTTTGGGTGCTTTGGAAAATAGCTTGACCCCCTTGTCTCTGTGGCAGCCCCTCAAATATTGGAAGGCTGCTCTCCTGTCTCCCCTGGTCCTTCTCTTTACTAGACTAGCCAGGCCCAGTTCCTGCAACCGTTCATCGCATGTTTTAGTCTCCAGTCATCCTGGTTGCTCTTCTCTGCCCTCTTTCTGGAGTCTAAACATCTTTTTTTATAGTGTGGTGACCAAAACTGAATGCAGGACTCTAGGTGTGGTCTTACTAAGGCTTTATAGAGTGGTATTAGTACCTCACTTGATCTTGAGTATACTTGAGCATAATTAATAATATATTAAAGGGGCTCAGATTGGACACCCCTGCTTTAAAACATGCCTTTTCCTTTTCTCATTCCTTCTCCTTGAAAGAGCCACTGTATTGACTTGTTGCAAAATGCAGAGAGTTGGAAATACTCCCTTTGTATACATTCGATCGGCTTTTCTCATTCTGAGTTTAGGATGGATGGATCGGAAATTATTTTTTAAAATCGGTGCTTTTCTCTCTCTCTCTCTCTCTCCCTGCCTCGCTTACATAAAGGCCATTCCAGGTGTTGGGATGTCCTGTATTTCTCGTGCGATGAGTGCTCCTAAAGCTTGCAATTAATGATGTTGGTGATTAATTGCCCCCTTTCAATTCGCTTTTAAAGCTTATGGCCCGGTGATTAATGGCTCGCTTTTTACGCTCCGTAGGGAAAAATACCAGGAGATTTCAAACACGGAGGCTGCGCGGGAACAAAGCAACACAGCCAAAAGAGGTAGGCCTGAATCTTTTGGGTTGCCTAGAAGCTGGGATGGAGGACAGGAAGAGGGCTAGAAGAAGGGGATAAAAATAAACCATCACAGTAGCTTTGGCTCCATGCATGATCAACAATGCGTAACTCAGCCAGCATCGTCGCTTCCGTTCGGTTTAGCTTGACTTTGTCACAATTCCTTTGCTGTCATCTACGCCCAGAGATCTGTCTCCTGTTTTTGCACACTGCAGGCCCACCAATATACACAAACAGGTTTGTGTATTGCTGCAATGGTCTGCGAGAAAGACCTTGGGGGACAGGAGGCGAGGAGATGCTACCTAGGAAATGGACAGATAAGAGACAGCTTAGTCCGCAGCTGCTGTCAGCAGGGCAAGAGGCTCAAAACAGACCCTCCCTAGTTTCTCAGGCTGTAAAGGAGGGGGCTATAATGATATGTGAGAAAGACCTTGGGAGTTGGGGCAGAAAAATGAAAGAAGCTGCCTAGGGAGCAGTTAGATAAGGACAGCATAGCCCACAGCTCCATAATGGGTAGGGAAAGAGGCTCAGAAGGGACCCTCCCTAGTTTCTTAGGATGTAAAGGAGGTGACTATAATGGTATGTGGGAAAGACCTTGGGAGTCAGGGGGAAGAGATGCTGCCTAGGGAATATTTAGATAATGGACAGCATAGCCCTCGGCTTCATAATGGGTGGGGAAAGAGACTCAAGAAGGGACCCTCCCTAGTTTCCCAGGCTATAAAGGAGATGGCTATGATGGTATGTGAGAAAGACCTTGGGAACTGGGGCAGAAAAATGAAAGAAGAGAGGCTGCCTAGGGAGTAATCAGATAAAAGACGGCATAACTCACAGCTGCACAATAGGTAGAGAAAGAGGCTCAGAAGGGACCCTCCCTAGTTTCTTGGGCTGTAAATGAGATGGGGGAGACACACAGAGACACACAGTATGTGGGAATGACCTTGAGAGTCAGGAGGACAAGAGATGTTGTCTAGAGAATGGTCAGATAAGAGACTGGGTAGCCCACAGCTGTATAACGGGCAGAGAAAGAAATTCAGAAGAGACACTCCTTATTTTTCTCAGGCTGTAAAGGAGATGGTGGGAGAATTGTACTTTCAAACCTGCAGGAGTCTATTAAAGGAGATTGACAATAAAGTAGAATTAGCTTATCTGATTATGTTTTTCCTATCTGGTCCACCTGGTAAAACTAACAATTGCTGGCCACAAAAACTTCCCCCAAGAACTAACGTTCTCTTGCTGAGCCTTCTCCCCATATCTTAGGTGTGCTTAAAGACTGCTGGATGACTGTCAAGCACCAGGGAAATTAGGAGATCCAGGCAATTCAACTTATAAAGATTTATTGAAAGCCGAAGCTCTCTTGGCCAGAATCTGGCTAACTAACAGTAAAGGGAAATGAGCGGGAGATAAGGAAGACATTATCATAAGAGAGGAGGTCTGAACTTACATCTCTTGTGGGTGTACAGGGACTCATGACTGATGACTTGTTTGACCCCTCCCTTGGGCTCAGCCTGGTCATCTTCTACAATGACCTCATGTCAACCTAGCTCAGTGGTTTCAGAGCCTAAAATCAAATCTGCAATGAGCTGGTGGAAACTTTGAGTGAGTTGGTGGAAACTCAAAGAAGGTGCGGTGATTCTCCTGTGTCCTTCCACAAGCTGGAGATAAAACTATCTCATTCCTCTCCCAGACCTTCCAGATCAGAAGTCTTGGTGCTCTCTTGAGCTTGGTTGTTCTCTTGCAGACATTTCACTACAAAACCAGGTAATAACATCAGGTTGAGTGGTGACAATGTTACCTAGTTGAGTAATGAAATGTCTGCAAGAAGACAACCAAGTTCAGAGAGCACCAAAGACCCCCTCATTTCAACTCTGAGCTACAAATATTCTCCATGATTGAGATCTGTTTCCAAACCTGCCATTCCGTGATAAATCTGTGCATCACTAATCAAGGTTCCATTTCACGGTTGACTTTTGGATTCCTGCTTATCTTACCTTGTTTTTGGTTTATGAGGAACTCCATTAGATTTCTCTGGCCAAGCTGAACAAGGTGGTGGAACGCTAGAAGAAGCACCCTTGGAATGTCCGCCCTTTGCTAACTCAAGGTTGATCTCCCATCGTTTTCTTTCTCTCCTTCTCTTCTCTACTCCACACCCAGCTTCGGACAAAAACCAGCAAAGGTTGACAGCAGCTGCCCATCTCCTAGAAGTCATCCAAGGACTGGAGCAGGCCCACAGGGCTTTTGAACATCAAGAAGGGGGAGAGAAACCAGGGACTGGCACACTACCCCCTCCCTAGGTGGCACCATCTCCCATTAGGAGCCAGGTTGTTTTGTCTGTGTTGTTAATGATGGCATCATCTTTACACCTGTTTAGAGAAGAAAGCAACTAGCTACACTACAGGTTTTGCTCCTGCTGAACAATGTCCCCTTGGAAGGAGAACAAGAAAC